CTAAAGATGGTCATTAACAAACCTTCTCTGCAATCATCTACTGCTGTGCTAAGTCAGGCATGGATCTGACTGGAAAGTTGGGCTGGCTCAGAAACTTTCCAGAAGTCTGCTGCTTTCTTTCTTTCTTTCTTGTTTTCCCTCCCCTCTCTGGGGTATATTTCTTTAGGGAAAGAAAATACAGTTCCCAATTATTTAATCATTTATTTCTCATTATGCATTGGCTAACTCTTCTCTGATAGACACAACGAAATTCAACAAATGTGTAGAACACTACTACATGCTAGAAGGGGAGTCAGGGCTGATGATATAATCATAAAAAGACACAGCTCCAGAACAGAGTGTCCACAACCCCCTTCAAAAATTAGCCACTGTCTACAGATGCTTTATAATGTGCCAGACTCTGTATTTAGGCTTTATAAAGATTACCTTGTTCACTTTTCACCACTCTTTAGAAGACAGATGTCTTATTATCCCCATCCTGAAGATTAGATGGCTGGAAATTACTGAGCTTGTGAGTGGCAGAACCAGGTTTGAAACCCATGTCTTGTCTGACTTCCAGCAAGTTCACGTACTCCAAACAACAGGATTTGGGCAGAACACAGGCTCAAATCCCCTTTCAGGAGAATTTAGGTCATGGCTGGGGTATTACACATTGGGAGTAACCTTCCCTATTTCACACACTTCCTCACCTCCCTGGCAACATTCAGATTATTGAAGCATCCATTTGTGTATATTTACAGATGAACTTAAACTTGCCTTCCAGTTCTGGAACAGCAAGGACTGGTGAAAATTTTGTGAATATAATAGAGATTCATATGAAATGAGAAAGGCTTAACTGTTTGAAGATCAGTGCTTTCTGAACTTATGCAAAAAATTAATGTGGTCGAGCAATTCCAGCTACCCAGTTGCATATGGTTATTTCTGCTGCCAATGATTTAATTTTTCACCTAATCTGGCAACCTCTCTGATGGAAATAATGAATGGAGGGAGACGGTTGTTGCTTTCTACTCCGCAGGAGTCAACTGCAGATAGCCAGAGGGCCAAAGTTACAATATTCATTCATCCCAAAAAGAAAAATAGAGAAACCTGCAGACATGTAGGAAAATTCTGCTATAACTTGAAAACTTGGTGGAAAATTAAAAAAAAAAAAATTCTTGGGATGACATTTGTAAAACAACAAGTTAAATAACTGGGGTGATAAATTAAGAGTACACATTTAGTAATAATAATTACTATTACCATTGATTGAGGGCCTACTGTGTGCCAGGCAATTGCTGGTCAGGGATAATTACATATCAGCTCATTAAATGGAATCTTTATAACAACCCTGTCAGGAGAAAGTGTTAATCCATTTTTACAGATGAACAAACTAAGAGTTTGGGAGGTTGAACAATTTGCCAAAGGCCCCTCATTGAATAATTTGCAGAGCTGAAATGTAAGCCAGTTATATGTTATTGCAAGTTTTTTGTGTCTCTCCTGTGTTGCTTTTCTCTTATCTATATCTACATTAATTAAAATACAACCTATTTAAAGGCATTTAAATAATGCAATGATTAAAAAGGCATTCGCTAATTTCTCTTTTTTTTTCTTGAAATGACATTTCCTTTTTTTTTTTTCCTTTCCCAATAGGAAACAGAAACATTATCTTACTTTTTACTGCTCAATTAATTGCTGTGGGATTTTACCTGAAGAGATCAGTGAGACCTCCAGGTGGATGCCATTGATCCAACTATAGTGTCATTCTGTGCCTGTCCATATGTGTGATGTTAGAGAGGAAGCTTTGTTTATGGGGACCACAAAGCCATCATCCATCTGACTCCCTGGGTTCTGACCAGCTCTCACCTACAGCATTTCCCACGAAAGTCTTCCTTGGCCAGTTATTATTTTTAATTGCTCATGGGGTGCTTCTTACTAGTAGAGTTCTTGCCAATCAAGATCATCAGCACTACCTCAAAGGAGTCTCAGGAAATCGATTATAAATTAAGCTCCACTCCCCTGATGAGATGCAAGGTAGGGCGGGTGTTTGAGTGGTGTTCAAGGTCATAGGACCTATTGGCTCCTGCAGGGACAGCATGGAGCCCTTTCGAAGAAACTATGCAAGTTCTGAGTACCAAAGATGAGGAAAATGTTCTGTGTGGTATGGCCAAGCAACCACTCTGGGTCAGAAAGCCCTAAATTCACAGACCTCATCCAACACCAAAATAGTAGTAGCAGCAGTAATAATAATGCATGCACTCTGCTAACGTTCCAGGAAATAGTACTTAGTCACTTAGTGATCTTAAACAAATGACTTAGCTAGCCTCTTTGAAGCTTAGTATTCTCATCTGTGTAATAGGAGCAATGACCTCATCTCACTGTTTCAAAAATGAAATGATATGATGGTATCAGATAACAGTCTTTTTGTTCCAAGTGACAGAAAACCAATCAGGTTCAGGTAAGCAGAAAAAGCATTTCATTTTAAGTAAAAGTAATGTCTCTCAAGATCATGCATGCAGCTGAGGAGAACTGGAATTAGAGGCTTAAGAATCACCCTAAACTCTCCCTGTTTCTTGTTTCCCCTTCCCTCCATGCACGGACAGCTCCCCTTTGTACTACTCCTTAGCTTCTGAGGCAGGACATAGTCACCAAAGGCTCACAAAGCTACATTCCCCTGCCCAATCTAGGCTAACAGACAAAGTGATTGGCCCAAATTCTAAATCTCAGGGAAGAACTGGGATTGTCTCTATGGTAACCCTGAGGATAAGAAGAGGTGGATATTTCATAGAAGAAAAGGGAGTAATTACTAGAAGAGTTTCACCGAGATTAAATAATTGGTATCTACTACAACAATATATAAGAAATAGCTATCACTATATCCACTCCAGAAGAGATAACATGTCTTTTTTTGTCAATAAGTAGATTTCTGCACATTTGAAAGGCTACATTTTTTAAAGATTTTATTTATTCATTTGACAGAGAGAGAGAGAGAACACAAGTAAGCAGAGCAGCAGGCAGGGCGAAGGGAGGGGAAGTGGGCTCCCTGCTGAGGAGAGAGCCCAATGCAGGGCTCCATCCCAGGACCCTGAGATCATTACCTTAGCCAAAGGCAGAGGCTCAACCCACAGAGCTACCCAGGCGCCCCAAAGCTACATTTTTTAAATGTAAAACAAATATATTTCATGTTAATTACAATAAGTATAGATCTTCTAATATTAAAAATCAAAAGAGAACACACATACTGTGAACAATTAATGTTTTAAGTGCCTGGTATCTTTTCCATCTGTTGGGGTGCCTGGGTTGAGCCCCACATCAGGCTCTCTGCTCAGCAGGGAGCCTACTTCCCCCTTCCTCTCTGCCTATTTTTGATCTCTCTCTCTCTTTGTCAAATAAATAAATAAAATCTTTAAAAAAAAATACAATTGAAATTCAACAAGTAGAAAAACAAAATTTTGTTTCTAATCCTATCTCCTCCCCTGCCCCTCAGAAACCCAAATCTTCTCACATTTTCCACTTTAACTCCATTTCCACATTTTAACTCCATTCAGTTACTTTACTACTCATTTAAGTTGTCTTAGTTTTGGGGTCTACTATCAAGTTTTTAGTGTTAAAGATCTAAGGGACTGTATTAAAGTACTTGAAAGTATTTCAAAGAACAATGAAATTCCCTTACATGTTAGAACTAAACAGAGTACCAAGCTAGAAATGAACAAAGTCAATTTCTATTTTTCTCTCTTTTCCCAAAAATACAGACAATTTTGGAGAAGTCATTTGTGGTCCTCAAACCATCCATAAATCTGCCTCTTGGTAACTAGCTTACTTTCCTCTCAGAATGAAGCTGGGAACATCAATGGATTAACTATGAATAGGGGCATTTACGGAGAGAAGGGGGAGTGGAATCTCGGAAAACTAGACATTTCCTTTTTTTTTTTTTTTTTTTAATCAGAAAGTGAATCCTTACCTAGAGAAAGAATCTGTTTTGCATTTGATACAAAAGAATTATTTCGCTAGGCTCAAATCATGGGAATCAAATTGCCTTATGCCGATAAACTCCAAGCCAGAGTGAGGGATTAAGACAATATATTTTAGGTTTGGGAAAAAGACCATCTTGTGTCACTTTCCAGAATTCCTTCTGGCTGATTTCAGCATATTACTGATTAATTTTGGATAGAATAATTCTAGGACCTTTCAAATAGAATGATGAGAGAGAAGTGTGCCTATCCTGGTAAAAAAGGAAATTGAAAGTCTCATTTTTGCATTGGATTTTTTGTTTCTGTGATATGATTCCTTTATATGGAGGAGAAATTAAATTTACAAAGCAACAGTGTTCCATGTAGATGTTGAAATGGGGAAATTAACTGGTGTTGAAATGTGTGTTACCCGTTAAAGATTATTCTTTCACATTTGTTTTCAAATATGAAAAGAATTTCATGGGGAAAGAGCAGTTTCCAGAATAATAATCTTGTCTAGAAATAAAATTCACAGATCCTATATGACAAAAACATGTTCCTAAATGGGGCTGTTTGGTTACAGTTTAAATGAAACATATAGTGATGCAAGACTCATTTTAGGCCAAAACTCATCGAAGCCCATTTTAATGTTTATTGCATAAATGCTTGATTTTGATCCTTCAAAAATTCTGTCAGTTCATGTCTTGGTAACTGGGATATTAAAATATGCAAATAGGCATGATGTAGTTGGTCAGTGCTAATCTTTTTTAACAACTAAAGTTCTCTTTCACCAGCAACCACCCTTCTGTTCATGTCACCTTCACCCAAGAGTCACACAAAATGCAGAAGACAGTCACTTTTACTTGATTAAATTTTGGGAGGTTGAAGCTAGGCCAAAATCCTCACCTTTCTCTTTCCTAAATATCTTTTCTCCTCTCTCTTAATTCCATGGCTTTACACTGATTTACATGAATTTCAGCTTTCAAAATCATTGGTCTTTGCTGAATGAAAACAGGCACATGGGAAAATTATATTAAGTTTGCACAGTTGATCTTTCATCATTTCAAATGGTACCTTTGAACAGTTCCTGAAATGTCTGTCTGAAATACTCCCAGCTCTGAGTGTCATCAAGAGATGCAGGGTCACCCTGGGGAAACCCATTCTCAGTGATGTAAATTACAGGGTTATTATACATATCCTAGAACAAGAGAGCAGAAGTTTTATTCCAAAGAGATGTAACAAGAAAAAAAAAAAAAAGACTCATAAAATCAGGTGTTTTACCCTCTATCTTCTCTAAGCTACAACCCAAAACTAGTTTTCATCAAATTGCACTGACCCTATTAACTTAATTTTCCACACACTGACCTTTTATGACTAACAATGGAAAAGCAAAACTGTGCAAATGTCCATGAAGACAGTCAAATGACTCTTATCGTAATGAGAAGACAGAAGTATCTTTCCTTCATCAGCATCTGCTGATTGTCACTACACTTTAACCCCTTGGTCCCACCAATGGCTACACTTTCTATCCCCCCAGAGCAAGGGTCCTAAAAATCATTAACTTAAAATTTTAATTTCAGCTACCTGGACTCCATCCAGATAACAGATGCCCAAAAAAGGATCCAGCTATTTCAGCCCTTAATATGCCTTTTAGTAATTACAGTTGTGACATCAGCCTGGAAAATATGTCCAAGCTACTCCTATGCCCACAACTGACTTTAACAGAGAAATCCAACTTTAACCAGTGTATCAAAGCCCCTTATCAGCTAGTTACTCCTCACAAGCTGAACACCTAATCTCTCTTTCCAAGCCAACAAATGTGTAACCTACTGCCTAAAATCATGCTTTTTCCAAGTTCACACATACATCTGTCTTCCCACTTCTACATATTTGGGTATACATGAATAGAAACACTGTGTTTTACCTTAATGTATTTCAGTACTTTATGTATTCCCCATGGCACCACATAGATCCAATCCAAACTTTTTATCCAAGATGGGTCTGGAAAAACTTGAATCTCCACATTCTGGAAAAAAACCCAGTTCTCCTTTCTTATTCTCCTGGTACTTTAGTAAGCGAGTTGTATAATAATGCACAGAAAAGAAACCAGCAGTGCCTTTAATCATTCTCTTCTCTTCTTCTGTAAATTCTGGAAGCCTTGATGATGGATAGCCTTGCTTTTTACTCATGAAGGCAATCTGGGACTTGACAACTTCCGGATAATCACCATCAGGAAATATGGGCTTAGCAAAGAAATCCAAGCAGAAAGCAATGGCTCTTTTAGCAGCTTCCCTGTCGGACACTGAATTGGGATCTGCCGGTTCCACCCAGGTAGCAAAAATTGCTAGGGACACCATACTCTTCTGCTCTTTTCAGAATAAGGAATCATAGCTGCGCCAGGATCTGGCGTGAGCTTTAATCAAATTATGAGCTGCCTGATAACCTCCAGTTCCAAAGTGAGGTACACCAGGAGGATATATTCCAAAATCATAGGCCAGCAGGGCAAAAACATTAGGCTCATTTATGGTGATCCAATGCTTGACTCGATCTCCAAAAGTACTGAAGCAACACCGAGCATATTTATCAAAGGATTCAATGATTGCCTCTGACAACCAGCCTCTTTTGTCTTCTAAGGCCTGAGGCAAATCATAGTGGTAAAGGGTCACTAGGGGTATAATCCCATTAGTTAACAAATCATCAATAATCTTGTTGTAATAGTCAATTCTTAGGAGAAAAACAAAAAGGAAGCATGAGAAGAAAAGTTATTTTTAGAATACTGACAATAAGTAAAGATCAGGAAAGAATCAGGAATAATTTCCTAAATAACTTTTACCCCAAATAAGGTTTGTTAGTTCCTACATATCATCAACTAAAGTTTTGGAGGAACCATTAAAAATTCCGAGGAAGAATGGCTGATTGGGAAGTTGGGGGTATTATGGAAGACATGGAGCACAGATGTTCTGGGCAAGTTGCTACCACATAACTTTGTGTTATGGCCACACTTACTGAAATTATTTTATTTGTTTGTATGTTTGATTTGTCTCTTAACCCCACTAAAATTCAAGCTTCATAATAGCTGGGGTCTTATCTAATTCACTTCTGGTTCCTCAAATCCTGGAACAATACCAGGAATTCAGTAGATACTCAATAATATTCATTGAATGAATGAATGGTTCTCAGTGGTAGCAAATATTAAGTAAACGAATTGATGGCTGCCTCAGTGCTTCTCCAGATATATCAGTCTTATAAATCTGAAAAGGAGACCTATTAAGCATGAATAAGAGCTCCCAGAACATGGGTTACAAAGGCAGTTGGCCAGAGGCTTGACATGTTAAGGAACATAGGGGACTTTGCTCTAGGATCCTGACATAGTCCTGTGAGAATGAATAGCCACCCCTTGCTTTCAGCTAATTCTCCAGCACTGCAAGTGTGTGGGAGAATTTTTAGGATTGAGGCAGAGTTCAGAAGAATGTTATTAACTTAGAGATACTCTGCCTCAGAAACCAATGCCAAGAAAATGTTGGGTCCAACCTAATAATGACTCCTAATAGGAAGAGACTTACTGGGGAGAGACCAGTATTAGTGCTTCATGTGATTTTATGTCTAAGATTATAGAAGAAACCTAAGCTCAGGAGAGAGAAGCTATCTTAGTTTGTGGTTGTTTCCTGGATAATAATTATAAATTCATATGTAGAATTGTGTTGCTTTCAAAGTTTGTCCAGAAGTAGGGTCCTTTGCTCTTTCTTTTTTTAAACTTAGTGTTCTCCAATTAAATAATAATACAGATTTTTTTATTTGTTTCATTCAATTATTAATTTATTCATCCCTCAAATGCACATGTATGGAGAAGCTACTATATGCTGGACTTCCAGACATATCTAGGATAAATACTATCCTTGGTCTAAGGGAGCTTCTATTTTAGTAGGGATTACAGATAAATTCATAAACAATTATAATACAGTATCATTGGTGAAGATAAAGTACAGAATTCCATTCAAGCATATGATAAGGAGTACCCACTACAAACTGAGAATTTATGAAAATCTATTTGGAAAACAGTATAGCATTATGATTTCAAAAGCAAACTACAGCAACAGGCTACATAAATTCTACCCCAATTTGTTCACCTATTTCTGTGATCTTAGGCAAGTTACTTTATCTCTCTGAATTATCGTTCCCTGTCTGTAAAATAATACGGACAAAATAAAATGTGGACAATAATAGAACACTACTTCAATAATTTATTGCAAGAATTTTAAGAGTTGATAAATTGAACATGGTTAGAACAGCTCTTGGCATAAGGTAAGGGCTCAGTACAGGTTAGCTATCATTTTAGTAATTATTGTTATTGTTGTCATCAGTGGCATCTAAGCTAACAGTCAAATGCTGAATATGAATTACTCATATAAGGCAAGGAAGAACAGGTGATCCAAGAAGAGAAAAAAGGAAAACAAATATGTGAAAGAGTAAAGGAGGTCTGAAGATAAACAAAGACGACCTAAATGTGAGCAGTCTATTCAGAGCTTGCTGTAGCAAGGGAGTCAGTCATCATCACTTGCTTTTGACAGATATTCGAAGGCTGTCAGAGAAGAGGGAAATTTTTATAGTAGTGGAAAAGAAGGGAAGGAGAAGGCTTCAGTTACCTTCTGATTGGAAGTTGTTGGCACAGGGAGGCTGTAGGTGGGCTAATTAGAAGTGGGGCATCCCAAGAGATTGATTTGGGTGGCTTATTTGGCTATCTCTGGTTGGTCTTAAGTTGGAAGCAGGGAGCAGGGAAACAAACCAACAATAACAAAAACAAAAACAAAAAAACAAAGAACAAAAAAAACAGAAAAGTTGGCAGATTTTGATCAAATTCTGACTATTGTGGACCATTGCTATAGCGGTTGTGGTTTGGCTCCCTGGGTTTCTTTTGTAGATCAGAGTCTCATTATCATATGGACTGGCCATTGTTTTGCTTGTCTATTGTAATTTAGCCAAGTATGGCTATGTCTGGGAACTCTAAGTTAAGCATAATGAGAATGTATAGCTGAGCAGAGAAAGCATAAGAATGGTGAGAGAGAAGTAGGGTAAGCAGAAGCCAAATTATGCAAGGTCATGTGTTGTCTACCTATCTGGAAGAGTGGATATTTTTAACAACAGCTCACTTGTTTTGCAAACCAGAACATAATGTGAATCATACATAACAACTCCATTCTTGGAAGAACCATTTGTATGCCATTTTCACTTGATAGACAGAATATCCCAGCCCCAAGAAGATATCCATGCCCTAATCCATTCAACCTGCGAATATATTACTTTACATAGCAAAAAGGATTTCCAGATGTAATTAAGTTTAAGGATCTTGAGACGGGAAGATGCCTCTAGATGGTTCAAATTGGCCCAGTGTAACTACCCAAGTCCTTAGAAGTGAAACAGTAGAGCAGAGGAGTGGATCAAAAATATGCAACATAGAAGAAGAGGTAGGAGAAGTAGCAGCATAAGAAGGACTCAACCCACTATTGCCAGCTGTGAGGGTGGAAGGAGGCGGCCACCTGCCAAGGAATCTGATGGCTTCTAGAAATTGAAAATGGCCCTCAGTTGATAACCATCAAGGAAATGAGGACTTCAGTTCTATAACCGTAAGAAACTGAATTCTTCCAGCAATCTGAATGAGCCAAGAAAGACTGTCCTCTAGATCCTTTGGAAACAAATGCGACACTGGAGGCATCTTAGTTTTAGCCTAGAGAGACCCATCTCAGACTTCTGATATCCATATCTCTAAGGTAATAAATTTGTGAGGTTTTATTGAGATATAATCGATATAAAAGGTTATATTATTTTCAGGTGTAAATTCTGTGCTTTTTTAAGCAGCTAAGCTTATGATAATTTGTTGCAACAGCAACAGAAAACTAATACATTCACCAACATTTATAAAGCTTTTCTTATCTCTTGCAATGAAAGAACATTCCACCATCCCATCTCTGAGCCTTGGCAAGCCCACATGTCCTCACTTGTAAAATGTAATACCCAAAAATGGTATGATGGAATCATTCTGGAGTTTTCATAGCCAATTCCTTCCATTGGTTCTGAATATAAAAATAATATCAGCTTCCATTTATTGCATTCCTACTATATGTACCAAATGCCACACATTTTGTTTAATCCTAGCCCTAAGCCCAAGAAGTGGGCATTTTTATCCTCGCTAAGCATCTAAGAAAACCGAGATTCAGAGAGAGTGAATACCAGACTTAAATGATAATGTCATGTGGCACTCCCAGCATTTAAGCCCAATAACCCACTCTATCTCACTACAAAGCCTGAACCTGTCCTACCATGACATTCAACTTCCCATGAATGTTTCAGAATCAGAAACATGGTGACTCTGTTTTACTAGTCTTCACAATCACTTATTTTGGAGCTGAATCAGAATATCAGATCCTTTTTTTAAAAAAAAGTTTTAGAGGAATCAGTGATTTATCTCTTGTAAACATCATTAGATATGGCACAATCATTAATGATGGCAATCAATGTAATTCCAACAACATGATAATCTTTAGTTGAATTGAAGATTTAAAAATTTTTAAATAAGACTTTTTTCTCACTCATCAGCTTGGCAGAGCAACAAAGCATTGCATAATTAATATTTAACATCCCCAAATCGAGTACTTCTGGTTTGTACAGAGCAATTCTGGTTTGGTCCTCTAATGCAATTCTGCCATGAAGAAGTGAAGTTGGGTTTTTAAGAGCAGAGTTCCAGAGTCAAACAGTTCCACCAAAGAATCATGGAATCATGGACAAAAAACTTGACATTTGAAAGAGAAAGGCCTGTCTATGCCTAATCTGCCACCTCATGAGTGTTTTAAGTATCAAATGAGAACAAATCATGAAAGAGTTCTTTAGCTTTATCAGCACAATTCAGTGGTAACTAATTCTCTGAACAAATGTATGTTTTTAAATGATCATTTGTTACAAATCTAGGGATCTTGAAACTGACAGAATATTTGAACTCTGTTTTGCTTCTGGATATTTAGGACATAACTGATTACTTTAAATATTAAAACTTCAATTGCCTTCTTCCATAGTTACTACCACTTTCTCTGATTTAATTAAGCCTATTTCTTCTTGTTTGATCTTTAGAATTATAAAGCAATTTGAGTTAAAGCTCTTTTAGGTATAGAGAAAAGTAACCCACTCAGATTAACTCAAATATAAAGGTAGCATGAAGGGCAAGTGGGTGGATGGTGTGGGATATACAGGCATTATTTGAAATGATAGACAGCTATCAGATACTCAACGGAATATTACAACTAAAACTCAAGGGAATTGGGGATTGGGACTGAGAAAGTCTTTGCCTTTCAAGAAAGACTAGTCTCATCCTTTCAATTTCACTCAACACATCTACTCCATTCCTCTCCTTCTCCCAGAACCTATTTTCTTAGCACCCAATTTGCTGTGGTCTCAAAATGGCCATCCCATCTGCCAATAAGCTACCTTAGAGTCCTGTTTCCAAACCAACCAACTCTAGACTCTCAATTCCTGAATTCCAAACATGCCTGAGAGGTGAAGACAATTGGGCAAGATTCTCTTTTTCCATGAGGTTAACAATAATATATCACAAGGAAAGAGGTCTTTCTCTTGTTTGGTCAGCTATGGCCAGGAGCAGAGCAGGTTTATGTAGAACAAAGAAATGAGAAATTCCCTTAGAAGAGGACATGACTAGGCCTTGCAAAGACGATGTTTCAG